TACTAGAAAGGCCAGAGTGAGGCCACACACCAGCACCAGCCAAGAAGCATTTGGGGGACCTTCTGCCTGGTTCCCAGCCTTGATGGAGAAGCATTTCCTCAGCTTCTAGCGCCTCTGAGCCAGAGCACGGCCTGGAAGGCAGGGTGACAGAGCCCTCTAGTAGTGAGAATCTCCCTCCAAAGCACAGGCTCTGTGGACAGCCCCTTAGCAGGGTAGCTGGGTTCCAGATAAGGCCCACCAACAACTGGAAATCCCAGATGCCCTTGGCCTTTCCTGCAGAATGCCAAATGGGAAAATTGAGCCACAGTCTTTTCATAAGAGGAGACTGCCACTCTTGGGGGCTACAAGGAACATGGGGACAGTGATCCCTGAGCAGAACCCAGGACCTGCCCCACTACTTCCTTTTCCCCAATACCTGAGATGAATATCAGGGTGCTGGAGGGCTGCAGTGACACACAAAAACCTGCATTCCAGCCAGGCACCCTGCAGAGTAGGGGCACACCGAGCTCGCTTGCCCCTGGGTTCCTTTCTCCACTTTGGGGATGGAGAGATGAAATGAAGTCTGACTCCTGCTTAAGTGTGACAAACACCTGCATCTGTTCCCTCAACAGCAGCTCTGACTGTCCACACAGATGTCAGTGGCTGCATCCTTGCTAACAGCTGGGGCTGGACAGTGTGATTTCTGTGTCTCACCTGAATCTTGTTCAGGCATCTAACATCATTAACCATCTGTCTCGAGTCAGGTTCTGCATCTGACATGGGCTAGCCCCAAAGGTTCCCACTTCTCTGTAAGCCCAGCTGTCACCTGTGTGGCTGCACGTGAGGTGCCTGTGCCCACTGTAAGTGCAGCTCACTGCCAGCATTTAGTTCCAGGTCAGGTGCAACGTGTTTGCTCCTCCCAGCATTCCAGAATCTGAGACGAGGGGGATGGAGAGTTCAAAACCACCCGGTCTCTAAAGACAAAAAAAGTCGGCTCACTGTTTTGGCCACCAGATTCACAGACATCTAGAGCAACACTTGCCTCCTGAATGACACGTAGAGGTTCTCAGGGCCCTGAGAGAGCCAACATGCTCTCTTATTGGCACATCTGCCTCTAGAACAAACACCAGGTCTTACTACACAGGCCTGTCCCTGGAACTGGGGCATGAGGAAGGCAGTATTGCAGCAGGTGGAGGGCAGGGAAAGAGAAGAGTTACCATGTTCTAGAATGTTCTCGATGTGCAGACTCTGAGGCCCTCCTCTTCCACCAGGCATCCTGTGGCACCAGCTCTCTTTTCAGTGGGGTCAGTGGCTGCAGCCTGGCTGTCTCTAGAATCTGTCGCAGAGCCCTGCCACAGAGCTGGATTCCCATGCAGGGCCTCCCTGGTGTCTCTGCACCTCCCTATGCTCAGGAGAAGGTGACTTTCTCCTTGGATCAAGAGCTAACAATGATTTTTACAGTTCTAAGCAAAACTGGAGGGGAAGCCAAAGAACTTAGGACACCAGGTTGTGACACTTGAAAATCCAATGGTTTATGATTGACATCATAAAGTTTTATTGGTGCATGACCACACCCCCTCATTTACATAGGCCCTGGCTATTTTACAGCTCCATGCCCTGCGACCATCTGGTCTGCAAAACTCAATTATCTCCACCAGAAAACACTTAAACATTTGTCCAGCCCCCGCCATGCTGTCTGCTCCTAAAGCAAACCTTTACTCACAGATGTCAATCACTGTTTCACTTCAGAGGAAAATTCAGATTAACCTCAAGATAGAAGTCAAGCCCATCCAGTTCCGTGTGTGTCTTGGGGGAGGGGGAAAGGGGTCCTAGCTATTGAAGGAAGCCTGGGTTTGAAGGAAGAGATTTGCAAGCAGGGGCTTCCTCTGATTTAGGCTCTTGTGTTCCGAGTAGGGTACACTGCAGGAATGAGGGATTTTCACATGATTGACATGCAAGATCTTAGTCTTCCTGTCTCCAAATTACTCTGCCCAGGGCTGCCTCCAGTCACCATTGGTTGTCTTATAGTTGGCTGTCTTGAGGCTTTATAATAAAACTCTCAAACCTCTGAGGATTGTTAGAAATCCCACCTGCTGGTTGGATTAGACCTTCTGGGCACAAATTATTATCATGGAATTTGGACAGAACTGTTGGTGGAAAATGACAGACAACCAACTCAAATTGGCTTTGAAGAGCTGGAGAAGCAGCTTAGTAAGTGCTCAGTGCATGTACAGGTGTAAGGCCCTGACTTTGGGGTCAGTGGCTGCAGGGAAGTGGCACCCACATAAAAAGACACCTATAACCACAGCCCAGCCTGGGGAAGAGACAGGATAGCTGGGATATGCAGGTTATCAGCCTAGCTCCAGGCTCAGTGAGAGGCCCTGCCTCAAAAAAAAAAAAAAAAGTGCAAGGGCTGGCTAGATGACTCTGGGCTGGCCTGGGCTTCTCAGCCAGCTGACCCTTGCAACTGTCTTTCATTGCAGAACCTGAAGCGAGTGGCGGAGGTGTGGATGGATGAGTACGCAGAATACATATACCAGCGCAGACCAGAGTACCGCCACCTCTCAGCTGGGGATGTTGTGGCTCAGAAAAGGCTCCGAGGCTCCCTCAACTGCAAGAGCTTCAAGTGGTTTATGACCAAGATTGCCTGGGACCTGCCCAAGTTCTACCCACCTGTAGAGCCCCCAGCTGCAGCGTGGGGGGAGGTGAGTGTGGTTGGAGGGACTGGGCACAGACCCTGGGGGAATGTGCCCAGGAAAGCCTAAATGTCACTTTCCATCCTTTCTTCCCTTTCAGAGCCTGTCATGGTGGGGCTGATTTTTGTTTTCTGGTTTTGTTTTATTGTGCTATTGAGTGTTCTGGGAATTTAAGCTGGGTCAGCATTCATCTCACCTTTTGATTATGAGACACTGCTGGGTTTTGGCCCTTTGGCTTGCAGTGTTGGGGATGGGAACCCAGAAGCTTGTACAATCTAAGCCATGCTCTTCAGGTGAACCATGTTCCCAGCTCATGGAGCCCATTGGAAATGCTCGTAATATCCTCATCTCCATCTCATCCTCCTGCAGACTACAGGATTTCTCACCAAAACCTCTGGAGCCCATTTGAGACTAACTCAAGTGTCACCACCTTGCCTCTTGGTGATGTGTACGTCCTAAGCAAATCTGCAGCCCAGAGCTCCCACTTGACCCTCCAGCCTTCATGGCTGAGGTATGGGCCAGGGCCACTTTTGTTCTTTGGAGTGGGCTGGGGAGAACTCCTGCTTCCCTGTGCCAGTTTCTTGCCCTAAAGGATAACTCCAGATGGATGGCAAAGATGTTGCATCCTTCTAGAATAGTTTCCAAGATACTGACACCTGCCCCTCAGGCCCCTGGAATGGGGGTCAAATTGGATCCTGGATCTGCTGGGTGAGGCCAAAGAAGGCCCTCAGCCTCCCTCCTTCCTTACCTTCAGGAACAGTGTCACTGGGGAGCCTCTGGGATCCTGTCCCTCACAGTCAGGAGGACCTCCAGCAGCCTGGGGCAAGCTCCTCTAAGGCAGTTCAGACTTCAGCCTGTCTTGGATTTAGTCTCCTCATCACCCAGCAGGGCCCAGTGGACACCTTGAAGTTCCTCAGTGGTTGCTCTTCCTTTTGCCCTCAGATTCGCAATGTGGGCACAGGACTGTGCACAGACACAAAGCATGGCACATCGGGCTTACCATTGAGGCTTGAGACCTGCATTCGGGGCCGTGGGGAGGCTGCCTGGAACAGCATGCAGGTAAGAGCTACTCAGGGGACTCCCAGGTCCTCGCACTTAGAGAAGAGGGATAGCTGTCAACCAGCAGATGAGTCCCAGAGCACCAGGGGAAAGCAGAAGGGAATTCCTGCATCTGATAGGTACCACTGCTCATCTGGACTG